AACATTGACTTAGATATTCCTACTTTCGATGGTTGCTTAGATCATGAAATTTTTACCCAATGGAACACCCTTACACAAGAGAATCGGCTAGTAACTAAGTATATTGCTCAATTTGAGGAATTTCGAGTGAAATGTCATGTCGTTGAGGATGAAGCCCTGACTTTAAGTAGGTTTATACAAGGTCTGAGATGAACTTAGGCGTGAGCTTTTCTTTTGAGGCATCACTACTCTTGATCAAGCTTACCCTTCAGCTCGGGACTACGAGTTACTGATTAGTACTACATATGAAAAGCGTGATCACCATCGTTCACCCATCTCATTAGCGTCATTTCATCATAAGTCTATCATAGAGCCTTCCTAGTCTAGTGTTCATTCCCTTTGGAAAAACAAGTGTAAAGGTCGTGATAGCCCAAGGTCGTCTTCTTCATGTAGAAAGCGTAATGACAATCATTCTTCGGTTTCATTGGCTCCACTTCCTCCTGTTAAGTCCCTTCTAGGACCTCCCTCGTCTAATGTTTATCCAATTTTGGAAAATAAGGGTATAATTTTTGAAATTTCAAAGACTTCTCACTTGCTATGCATCAGCTGTAAGGACTTTGGTCACATCTCTTCCAAATGTCCTAACCGAGACTTAGTCATAAAAGAACGAAAGAATGCAATAGAAGAGTCGTTAGAAGATCTAGCAGATGACCCTAAACTTGAAGATTTTGATGATGATAGTGAGGACACCTTCTTAGGTGGCATCCAAGCTCTTCTTGGGACTCCAGATTCTGTATCCCATGATTTCCCTAGTCACTTTTATAGAACCCAATTGCCTATGGTTAGCACTAAATCGAAATTCTCCATTGCAGACCAACCACAGGCCGATGGTCAAAATGAAGTCGTTAACCAAAGTCCTAGCAATTTATTCAAATCTCTAGTCCAGAAAAATCTTGGGAATTGGGACTTGATTCCTCCAATTGTTCAAATTACATATAACAATCCTGTGAATTGGTCTTTAGGTCTAAATTCCTTTGAAGTTATTCATGGTTGTGAACCTAGGAAACCTTTAGACCTTATTCCCATGTACCCACATGCTAGTGTGTTTATGTCAGTTGAGGTAGTTGTATCACATTTTCATAACTTGCATATTGAGATCAATAAACAATTTGAAGCAAGTAATGCATTATATAAACTT